ACCGACCTTCTGATTAGTGGCTGACCTGCTCTGCTGACCTGCTCTGCCACCTGAGCTACAGCCACCCGTGACGTGACAGGTGCGTCACGTTCTTCTGTCAGGTAATGATCACGGAGTCGTTTTAAAGCAAACACACAGAAAACGTATCATCTGCAGATACGAAGACCTCACGGCGACCTGCGGAGGCGATTTGGTGCTGTATAAATAAAGCTGAACTGATTCAAGCGTCGTCCACTGACGACCTGCAGGTGTGAGGTGTCTGTGGTCCGTCCAGCGCTCTGTCTGTGGGTCTCATCTTTCCCACAGTCTGGAGTTTCTCCTGGTAAAACTTCAACACTTCGAGTTTTCCAAACAACAAAACGTCCTGACAGCAGCAGGTCCTCCTTAAATAACTGCTGTGGCCTCCGTCTGTAAACTCACTGCTTTCAAGAAGCGTCCGTGTCGCGTTGGACACATGAAAAGTTTCATCCTGACAGATTTTCTCCTCGGCTGCTTTAATTCCAGACTCTGACTGTGAGGATCCAGGTCCAGCAGTCTCAGACAAACATCCACAGCCCCGCGGAGCTCTGAGCGACCCTGACCTACAGGTTACACTCACCTGAGAGGACGCAGACGGCGTGCAGCGGCGGCAGCATGGCGGTGTTGTTCCTGCTGCAGACAGACAAACGGATGAGCAGTCAGATGAGTCAGTTGTCGCTCTGACTTCCTCTTTCCACTCAGTTATTCATAGAGTCGTCTCGCCGGCACAAAACAGGAGGTCAGCAAACATGTTTGAGATGAGCCGACGCACCGTCAGAGCGCCACGTCGCTCCACCCCATGTCTCCATGTCAGCGCGTGCTCACGGCAATACTACAGACAGCATGGTCGGCAGGTTAAAGCTCACCTGACAATGACCTTTCACCTTTCATCAAACAAATGTCAGTTTTGTTTTTTGTATCTTTATTCTGAACAACAGAGAAAAAAGAGACAAACAAACAAAAATCACAAATAACTCAGCAGGAAGAAGCATCAGCTTATTTAACCCCGCCCCCTGTTTCCTAACTAACAGTAA